CCCAAATGAAACTCATAGAGGGTGATGTTGAGTCCAAATGATGGAATTTTATCAAAAAAAATTTGCACTCGGAGTTTGCGAAAAAAATTGGCATTTTCCTGATCCCCCTCCTAGGGTTTTTTACTGTTAGTATTATCTTGGATTTTAGAATTTCATAGGAAGCTATACCAAATTTCATCGATAGATTTTAAATTTCGTCTAAAAATGTGCAACCGTTCAAGAGTTATGATGTTTTGAAATTTCGAAAAAATTGTTTCCACATGTGGCAAAAATTCAAAAAGGTATCACTCTTGAACGATTATATATTTTTAGACGAAATTTGTCGATGAAATTCGATATAGCTTTCTATGAAATTCTAAAAATTAAGATGCTACTAACAGCAACAAATCCTAGGAGAGGGGATCAGGAAAATGCAAATTTTTTTCGCAAACTCCGAGTGCAATTTTTTTTGATAAAATTTCATCATTTGGACCCAGCATCACCCTCCATGAGTTTCATCTGGGTCTCACACTCGGAAGTCGAGATTCAGCATACTGAAAAATCCTGGATACGTCACTGCCAATAAGGATAAACGATTTTAATGAAAAAAACGGACAAGGGCCAAACAAAAAAGAAGAAATGAAACTATAAAAAAAATTGATGACGTAATCGAAAAGCGATTTATTGTTCGTGACTAAATAATATTTTAAACATGGAAGTTCGAGATCAGGTCTTAGTCAAAATTATTATACGAGAAAAACTCATTTGTATTCTGATATAGAATTTTTACTTTTATTTTAACAACTGATCATAAATTACTTATTCTATTGGGCAAAAATAAAAATAAATACGAAGTCTTATCATCCACGTACTATCATTTGAAACTGAAGCTTAATTCGTTTTGTTTTTCAATAATATAAACAATCATTTCGATAATATGTTTCTTGCTTTTTTCTTTTAATAATTATCGATTAGTTCGCTTTTTCGTTATATATCATTTTTGTTTCTGTTATATGTATGTTACTCACGCAAAAAACAAGGACTCTTTTCATCATTAAACATAGATAAAGTGATTCATCAATAGTGGTTTTTTTTCATTACCTTTATTACAAGGTTATTTCTCTCAATGAGAAAACTATTTAAAAAAAAACTATGAGTCGTGTAAATCAATAACATGACGTTTTAAGCATTGCTTCAATCAATCATAGTGATATGGTCTAGTTCTCGTAATATCAAACTAAACTTGGAAGAGAAATATCCTAATGATTAATTTTTTTTCTTCAGAAATGAAAACAAATTGATTTATCCAATCATTTATACAGCGAACGGAATATTGTATTTGATTTTTATCATCTTCTAACGAGGGAAGATTGTCAACTGATCCACGTCGTTTTCATTGATATTTTGTTCATATAACCAAACATTTCAACAAGGAAAGTTTTTTTTTCCACTGAAAATTTTGGTGTGTTTCAATGACTATAAGAAGTAAATATGAGCAAAATTTCAGATTGAAATTCTGTTGTTCAATTTTTCTGTGTATACCTTAGGCTCGGTGGAAAAACTAGTAAAATGGTCATAACCATCGAAGTAAGGTCGATCAGCCCAAACTGTAATAGGACCTTCCCTCATGAATGACAAACGTATAAAAAGAATGCATTATGAGTCATTACCTTCGTACAAGGTGTATATTAAGGTCACAATCGAAGAAAAAATACCTATAAATTAGGAATCATTTATATCTGCAATATCATAGCGATGCGTTTTCTCATATTTTTCTTCGTCGTTTTTATTTGTAAGACAGGACATGGAGCGATGTACCACTGTAATGAAAATGCTACATGTGGATGTTCAAAGTCATTTACACTTATATCATGTATTATTGGCGGTGAAGCTGCAGCTCAACAATCTTGGTCATGGGCTGTTTCTATTCGTTCTAATGGAGATCACTTTTGTGGAGGATCAATTCTTTCACCATCATTCATTATTACTGCTGCTCATTGTTTTAATGATGAAACTGACTTAAAAATATCACTATTCTTGTTGGATCTCTAAATTTAAAACTGTCATCAACTGATTCACCTCAAATTCGTTCCATTGCTCGACTTTACAAACATTCTGGTTATGACCGATTTATGTACCAAAACGGCTTGACTCTTATTCGCTTGTCTAGTCCATTAAATATGAAACATGGAAATATTAAACCAATCTGTTTACCATCTGGTACTGTTCCTCAACCAGCAGACAATATTAGTATGATCGCTGTAGGTTGGGGTACAAGATCAATGTCGTCAATGATACCTTCTTCAATTCTTCAGCAAATTACAGTGAAATCCGTACCAAGTACACATAGTGGATGGCAAAAGTT